CCCAAAGCATGAGGAAATGCTTTTTAGTATGTAAACTAAAAAGTATTTATACTCATTTAACAAATGACAATAGCCTAACGTCAATACTTTAAGGTCTTTGATTCTATATTCGGACTTTCAAACATGGTTAATCACTATTTGTTTTGGTACCAGCAGACAAGGCGGTTAATTTTATTATTATTGTATAACTTAAACATCACATCAAAACGCTTTGCAGAATGAACTTAAAAGTACTAATGTGTATTCTAAAACTACTTCTTCTGAAAAAAGATACTTTTATTAGAAAACATAACACTTATATTTCTAGTCCGAATGATGAAAAAGAACTCAAAACTTCAAATGATTAATTGGATACCTAAATTGCATAAAAAACCTTACACGGCCAGATTCATTGCTAACTCTACATCTTGCACTACAAGTAAACTTTCTATTTTATTGACGTCTTGTTTGACTGTCATTAAGACACATGTTTTTCGATATTATGATAAAGTCTACGACAATACAGTCAAATAAAAGAAAAACAAAATCCCTAAAGAAAGTCAAACAGGTGGAAGTTGAAAATGTTGCAGACTCGGTTTCATTGAGCCTGTTCATGGACGGTACAAGAAAGTGCAAGTTACCGTCCACGCCCCCCCAGCACCGGCTTAAGCAGAATTTAACATTTAAACACGAAAACATATCTTTTGGTCGATTAAAACTTCTAGTGAAATTTTGGATAAAGTTAAAATCAAGAACTATCAATCTTCAGCCGTCGTACATACGATTTTTCTACCATGTATATGACACTTCCACATGAGCTAATTAATGATAAACTAATTCCCCCTATTCAAAAGACATTGGCACTAAAAAAAGTTACATTTCTTGCACGCACTTCTCAAAAGGTCTTTAATGTCCTGCTCGGCTCCTTGCCGGTACTTCTTTGTTGGGATGCGTTCATTGAATGCTGCCATTCCTTGCTGATCATGTTATTCATTTTTATTATAAAACATACGATCAGTTAAATTTGTCTTGTTACTAAGATCTTACGTATTTCACCCTTCACCCGTGACAGCCAGTGAAACTTCGTGAAAATTAGGGACCAAAGGTTTACTTACTAAATGAGGCATGGTGATCTTTCTTTATTTTTTGTCTTTTCATCTTGAATTTGTTAAAGACTAAAGAAAAATATATAAGACATTGGACTAAAAAGCTTTCAGCACCATTTCAATTTAGAAATTACGTAGGTAGGAAGATTAAAGAATCAAGAAAAAAGACTTCTTTTCTTCTAAGTGAATTATTTATTTCTATCCATTTTCCTGAAACATTAAATATAACATTTTTTCATATTTAGATAGCTTTGCTGGTTTCTTATCATAACATATTATCATTTCACATATTTTTTCAGTGTAATTATTTAACAATTTACTTACTAAAATATCAACAATGAAAGGCGGCGCCTAATGAACACAACCCCCACACGACCCAGCAACAAGAACCAGCAGCAAGGAGCCCAGGCGGACCCTAAACCAAAACTGGACAGGGCACAAGACAGATCACGGAAAGGTAATCACTAAAATGATAAATAATTTGTGACTGATAAGGAATACACCTTCTGCAGAGCAATTCTCTGTATGAGAAAGTATGTTGGTTATTTTTAAAATTCTAGAGATTTATTGTGAAGTCTTTCTTTCGGAAAGTAACTGTTTTGTAAGAAAATATGAAAAATAAGATCAGCAAGGAATGGCGGCATTCAGTGACCACAGCCCCAACACAGGACCACCGGAAAGGACACCAAACAGAGTTATTGCTTTAGAAGGTTATTTAAGAAGATTATTGCTTTGCAGAAGAACGCTTTGCAGAGGTTGCACTGTATCACAATTTAATTTTTACCAAAAACTAAAATATAAAATAGGAGTCTATGGCCTTGATTTTTGCAAATGAAATGTTTATTAATTCGTTACTAAATATCATTTTTGAAATTCTTGTTGATTTCTAAAATACCTACTGGTTGATTAAAAGAAATGCAGTATTTCTTTCTATAAATAATATTTTCTATGCACATGATCAAATCACAATAAATATTCATTTTTGATGAAAAATAAGAAATGATTTTGATCTTTTTTAACATTGTCGCCGCTTCGGATGGCGGCATACAATTAACAAGATTTGCCCATTTATTCCCGTATACCACCTACCCTCCGCCAACCAGAATATAAAATAAAATACATAAGAGCACCTACGGGGCACGAAATCCGCTGCACATAGAATTGAAATACTATCTTCATGAACGAAGCTCGAAACCAGTGTGTAAGCGATATTCGGAATATTTCTCTTAATAGAAGAAACTTTAGTTCTATTTTTCAGAAAGAAGTCTATTTTACGAAAATAAATATTTTTATTGTCCGGCTGAACGGTGATTTCTAGCATATTTGGAAAAGCTAATACTTGAATTAGCTTTCATTCTAAGGCGATTACTGACTTTGCTAACCGAAACTATCGGATTAAAATAATCTGTGCAGAAAGTTTACAAATGACTGATGGTTCTTATCTGGTGCCCTCTAGTACCTAAAAATGCATCGAGGGACCCTGAAGTCTTAATCAACCAGTAAGGCTTCTCTGCTGTGCATCCGTCGAATGTTCTTCTACCGTTCATAGAGACCTAAAGAGGCCAACAACCAAAAGTGTACTGGCATCGGCATTTTAAACTTTATTTCGGAATACCTTGTACAACTGATCAGAGAATTGTCATTGTATCTTCAAAAAATACGAAACGGCCTCACCCAGTGTTGTTGTATTTATCTGTTTCTTCGCGTCACTGTTTTCAATGCTTTTTGTTATAAGGATGGAATATATCACTTAAATCCACTACTAAGGGACATGAAAAATTAAACAGTTGAATCTTTCACACAAAAACAGCAATGACAACAACAAAATCTCAATGTTGCTATATTTATCTGTTTCTTCGGTTCACTGATTCAAACGCTTTTTGTGTTATGAATTTAATATATCACTTAAACCCGGTGCTTTAGGGCATGGAAGATGTTGTAAATATCATTATTTCTCATAAATTTATTTCTAATAAATTGACCCATTTCATTAAAATCGGATCTGCAATTTTTATCTGTAGTCCGCACTTTTAAGTGTTAAAAATTGAGTACCCCGCAAGCCGGTGCTTGGGGGCGTGAGGGATGTTGCACTTTTTCAGTTTCCCTCATGTACAGACTCAATCAAACCGAGTCTGCTACTTTAATGTAACTTTGTTGTGTTTAATACTTCCGATGGATCACTTTTCTCCAGATATTGAATCTTTTATTGCTCTCGAGGAATTCGTCTTTCTAGAATATTTCTTTAATGATGGAAGAACTGGTTGATTTTCACATTTTGTTTTCGTTATTATGTAAAATCATATTATTTTGATCTGTGTTTTAAACTAAATAAATCGTTGCTCAATGGCATTTCTTTGACCCTCTATACGGTAAAATATCCCGCATTAAAACTCCTTAATTAATCGTATAGAGAAAAACACTGGGTGCTGTTACAATCGCAATATTTCGGCTCTTTTACAAGGACCGACAATCTGATAATAAACTGAAAAGGCTTGAGTAGGTGCAAAATGGGGGGGGGGGGACTATTTCTAATTCAAAACAAAACTAGATTGGTTTTTTCCCACTTTTATTCGAAAAAAGAAATGTCAAGAGAAATGAGTGCCATGCCATGCATGGTTTTGAAGAAAAGCATATTTTTCACAACATCTATTCTGATATAACATGACAAATACCTAATACTAATAATGTCTGATAAATTGTCTGTATTGTTGTGTTTGAAGGGGGTTGTAAGTGGTGATGGCGGAGATGATGATGATGATGATGATGATGATGATGATGATGATGATAATGATGATGATGATGATGAAGTAGTCATATTTTAATGATAAAGCAATTATAATCGGATGGTGATATAAACAAAACTTAATGAATGATATTATCTCTAAAATAATAAAAAACAGTAGAAGACAACTGCTCCACTTGAATAAAGATCACAAAAGAAACAAAATAGTAATAACAAAAACATATAAAAAAATAAAAATGGGAAAAACCTTACACTCAGATTCATAAACAACTTTAAATCTAAACTGCATCTTAACTTTATCGAATAAAACAGGTAACATTTGTTTAAAAGACTATTTCATATACATATATAGTTTTAACAAAGACTAAAGCTTTATTTGATGTAAAGTTTTTATCTAAAACTTTTATTATATATATAAAACTGTGGTAGTTAAAATGCCCCCAAACTTCAAACTGGGTATATACTATGCTTTTTTGACGTCAAAACAAAACCATCACACATTCCCAGCATTACATGTATATGGCCAGATGAAAGGTTAACCCCGCCTCCTTCTCCCACTATCCTCCTATTTGTCGGGGTCCGTTTCACTAGTGCAATCAAAATCATCACATTTTACTTGTTATATCCGAGTAATGTTTTATCCTCGTTTTTGATCTCGTAGGATCTCCTGAACCATCCAGTCTTAAGAATTAAAGTTTAAAGTTTTGAAACTACTTAGAAATATATGGTAGGTAAAGCCCACAAAAACACACAAAAACACATATGTACAGATTTTTTTCGACATAATCAATGAAGCATTATTCACGTATATACATTCCTCGAAAAGCAGATTTTTGAATTGCAGGTTAATCAAAACAAGTTTTTATGCCACTCAGCATTAGTCATTAATAGTAAATTGTCTTCGAATAAAACATAACCTTTTCGTGTTTGGACTGATTCAAGTTTCACTTATTAATAAATTGAATTTATTGTGGGAGGTCCAATGTTTTAACCAGTATAAATCTAGATCAATAGAAAATATGAAATGCATTTTATCGTTTACATGCAGCTGTCAATTTTTAAATTATTACAACGTCAAAATTCTAAATCGTATTTATTCATATACAACAAAATAAAGAAAACATTTCATGCACGTTTAAGAAACATCATGTACTTTGTTAGCGCAATGCCTTATTCTTATAGATCCGCTTATTTTAGTTTTTTAGTTATTAATACTTATGATATTTCAGAAGTCATATTCATGACGCAGATAAATGAAATATCAGGCGCCATAAATATGAGGCAGGTAAATGATACTTGAGATGTCATGATAAAGTGATTTCAAAAATGTCATTCAGTTAAAACATAATTAGGAAACTGAAATGCAAAACCATCACTGCAATGACAGCCGTCAACTTGATAACACATCTGTCACCCTCTGAAACAAAATTGAATTGTTTTGTTAGACGAAAAAGTTAAATCACAACATTTATCTAAAAAATATAAAGTAATATTTATTAATAAAACAGTTTTAAAAAACAAACTTTTATCAATTTTTTGAGTTAAAAAAACAACAACAAAAAACAAGTCATAGAAGCGTGTTAATAAGAGGTAAATGTTATCATTAGTTTCTTTGCCAATAAAAGAATAAGATATGAGGTCGGCTCCTTTTGTAAATTTTATATATCTGAAAAATCTATTTATAGAACATTTAACTATACCCGATATTGCCATAGTTGACGTCTCCATCTTGAACATAGTAACAGAACTTGTTGTGATCACTTCCTGTTGTTCTGTAGTTATTGACTCCGTAATCTGAACATCTACAATATTACAAGAATAAATACCGTATTAATATAATATAAAGAACAAATATCATGAGAAATATGTAATACATTAACAAATATAGTAAAAGTTATATAATAAATACGGAATAGTATCTTGTAGCAGTTTTCTGAGGCCATATATTTTGATACGAGCAGCGTTGGAAAGTTGATATCTCGCAAAACCGGACGTCGAGGGGGATATCCACTTTTCTACTGTGCGAGAAGCAAAATATATGGCCTAAGAAAGCTGCTACAGCATTATATTCTGTATTTACACGAATATGCTTGTAAGAGATATATGACCTAGATTACATCATAGGAAGCAGAAACATAGCGACACGCCCCAGATAGGTCTAATACATTGTCATCAATCAAATTATATTAATAGGTAAAAATTGTATGCATGTATATATAGGTATTCATGCTGCAGTCATGTTGAAACTTTGAATATACTATGTTACATATGATAGAATATCCTACTTTTGTCACTAAAATTCTACTCTATTACCAACGAAACTCTACTCTGTTACTAACACAGTACTCTCCATTCCCAATCGGAACTCCTCGACTATTTTTTGTAATAACCTCTGACTTAAAAGAGGTCGAACATGTGGTTTTAGATGTAAGTCTTTGATAATGCAAAACGAATGTCTATATTTGACACCAAAAGGAAAATAAAGTCTGTTTCGGTAATTCATGATTGCAAATATGTCTGACAACCCATTTTAATTTAAAAATAACCGCTGATGTACTATTATATAAACAAATTCCTCTAACAGGTTTGCATTTTACACTTTCGGTTTCTACATCGGCTATTTCCAAAAAGTTTACAAATATAGATTGATGTGAACAAAGGAAATGGACGTCAATAACCACTGCAGAACTACTATTACATACTTCAGCGACGGGCTTCCTTATAGATCTGAATAATGTTTCAGTTTGTTATATTAAACCAAGGCATATAATATGCAATGGTTATAACAAACAAACAAACAGAAAAATATAAGTAAAAAATCACTAATATCACAATAAAAGAATACAATTATAACTAGCTAAATAAAAAATAAACAAGAAAAGGAGTTCATATTGTTCATTTCAAGTACTGAATTCAATACAACATGTATTTAACATTGTAACAAATGGCAACGAAGAATTAGAAGTATTAATTATATAATTTTTAACATAATGTTTTTACAAAATAAAGATAATTTTAGTAGAATCTTTTTATCTATAATTATTCATTAATCTGTCAAGTTTTAAAATATTGGGATGAATATAAATACTGGGAAGAAGAGATTTACGTCTTATGCCATTAAAGTACGAACATTCAAATAAGTGGTGAAATTCATCACCAATAGCTGTATACGACCGCCATACAGTACAAATGTCGCCACTGTGACTAGATAAAATAGTACGGTCGTCTACAGATGCATGAATGATAATTATAAGATTGCTTATACCTAATCAAGTATAGTAGTGTTGATTAACTTTGATGGTTGTGAATTTTAGTCCTTGGCCTGCTGGTACCGATGTTATATAAGCTTTTGTCCCCAGTACAGAGTCAGATCTACCTGAACGTCCATCCTGACAGGACTCTAAACTGCTGATTAACGTGATCACCAAAATATATATTGGCCAGATACAAAGCCGGGAACTGGACAAACCAGTACTAGAAATTCAACAGATTAGCGGTTAAGCTTACCGGTAGCATCTATCTCGCAAATGTAATTATAACTCCTGTCACAATTGTCATCTCTCCATTTATATTCGTCTCTAGCATTGAACAAACTAACGCAGTGTTCACTGTTAAATAAGTTATCGGGCTCTTTTTGGTACCAGTCAGTAAAGGATGGGCTCTTCCCCGACATGTGCCAAACAAATTGACCCTCATTATCACGGTCGTTTAATCCCAACCAAAATATATCTGAAAATGATTTAAAAGCTTTTAAAACAAAACAACACAAAAAATATAATAAAAAAAAAAAGAAAAAAAGAGGAAAAATCCTAAATACTTTTTTTACTTAGTGAACCATTGCCAAGAGCATAATTAACATTCTATATCTGGGTCACCAATCTTTACATTTAAATCATTTCAAGTGTCTCACAACGTACATCCAGTTACACAGGATATAAATTTGCATAAGTAACTCTGAATCTGTGCAAAACTTTGACTGAAAGTTTCGGTTCGGTTTCCGAACTAGGTTCCTTTTTACCATCATACCATCACGTTTTCACAAAGGTATCTTTGTTTTTTTAATCTGACATTAGACCAATATCAGGACATTTTTGTTCATATGTCGGCAGTCAGCCAACCTAACCGGCTTTTCTGAATAACTAGCCAGTAATTTCGGCGGTCAGCCAACCTAACCGGCTTTTCTGAATAACTAGCCAGTAATTTCGGCGGTCAGCCAACCTAACCGGCTTTTCTGAGTAACTAGCCAGTAATTTCGGCGGTAGCCAACCTAACCGGCTTTTTTTCTGAATAACTAGCCAGTAATTTCGGCGGTCAGCCAACCTAACAGGCTTTTCTGAATAACTAGCCAGTAATTTCGGCGGTCAGCCAACCTAACCGGCTTTTCTGAATAACTAGCCAGTAATTTCGGCGGTCAGCCAACCTAACCGGCTTCCTGAATAACTAGCCAGTAATTTCGGCGGTCAGCCAACCTAACCGGCTTTTCTGAATAACTAGCCAGTAATTTCGGCGGTCAGCCAACCTAACCGGCTTTTTCTGAAAAACTAGCCAGTAATTTCGGCGGTCAGCCAACCTAACCGGCTTTTCTGAAAAACTAGCCAGTAATTTCGGCGGTCAGCCAACCTAACCGGCTTTTCTGAATAACTAGCCAGTAATTTCGGCGGTCAGCCAACCTAACCGGCTTTTCTGAATAACTAGCCAGTAATTTCGGCGGTCAGCCAACCTAACAGGCTTTTCTGAATAACTAGCCAGTAATTTCGGCGGTCAGCCAACCTAACGCGGCTTTCTGAAAAACTAGCCAGTAATTTCGGCGGTCAGCCAACCTAACCGGCTTTTTTCTGAAAAAACTAGCCAGTAATTTTGCGGTCAGCCAACCTAACCGGCTTTTCTGAATAACTAGCCAGTAATTTCGGCGGTCAGCCAACCTAACCGGCTTTTCTGAATAACTAGCCAGTAATTTCGGCGGTCAGCCAACCTAACCGGCTTTTCTGAATAACTAGCCAGTAATTTCGGCGGTCAGCCAACCTAATAGGAAATGACGATGTATGTACATTATCGCCTTCCCTGGTTACAACTATGTTAATTTGCCGTATAAAATCAGACAATTATGTAGATCTTACCTTTTTCACCTCTTATAAACACATTTAGCAAGAAGAAATACATAGACCTGTCTAAAAGTTCAATCTGTTTCGCCCCGAATCTTGCACAGTTGTCCTGAAAAAAAAAGGAATTATATTGGAAATGAAACGACTTGAATTTTGCTGTTTTCCGTTTCCGGTTTCTTTTTTATCAGTCGAATTTTTATATACTTATAAATTTATATACTTTGCAAATAATTTAAGAAATTTAAAGGACGATTACAATATTGGCTATATGCACCTTTCAGGTGTTTAATGCTTAATAAATGTTTAATGCTTAATAAATGTTGTTGTTATATAAGTATACTTACCAATTCATTTATCCTTTTTTTGGCATTTCAATTAACACAACGGATTACTCAATCTCATATACTCAATTATGACCACTGAATTTATGTGCATATATGTCACAAGCGGCACCTAAGACCGCTAACCTCCCGTAACCTTTGTGATGGCTTCCTCACACTTAATAGTTCTAAGTCCTTGGCATAATTCGAACCAACTACGGTTGAAGGCAAATGGTTCGAAACCAAAAAAAAATCAGCAATGGAGGATTAAAAATATAAATAAAGGATAAAAAAAACAAGCGCTTTTTCAGCTCTTAATTAGTTTTGAACTTACGTTTGCCTCTTGCCATGTCGCTCTGCTCCCGCCTACTGAGTAACAAATATTCCCATCTGCTGATCTCCAAAACCCACGTGGACATCCAGACGACACTGTGTTGTATCAAATTCGAGCAAAACATAATATGGCGACTTTTTTCTTAAATGTTGTAATTTTGCTCCACATGTTGACATACGAAAAATACGGAAACACGACAAAGTGAAAACACTTCGCCATACTTTCATTTCGCGGGGCGCCAGGCAAAACGCGATCTTACGATCAATGATCTATATATGATCATAGGCGAGTAACGAAACAACTGTCATATGATTGCGTTTTCCCATCCCGCGGTATACTTTTCCACTTTTTCGTGTTTTTCCCTGATGCCCCGCTGAGCAAAAGTATGAAAAGCGATCACTTTGTCGTATTTTCGTGTTTTTGTTTTGCACCGCACGGAGCAAAATGCAGCATGGGACAAATCAGCCACCATAAAGAACAACATTAATATAAAAATGCATTTTTAATGTACATGTATTTAAATTAAGTGGTGAATATCCCTGTTGGATTCCTTATTAATCATAAGTTATGCCTTGTTAGTTATTGCAACAACATGCATACAACATATAAAGATCCATGAGTTTTTACCAGAGGATGTCGAATAAATTCAACAAATTTTAAAGTGGGGTAGATAATTTACTGCACTTCCAAAGGATGCCAGGAGTCAAACTTGTGCGTGATATTCTTTTAAAACCTAAGTTGGTATCCAAATCCACATACTTAGCTTAGCCAAAACCTTGGTTCCAGATGGGGAAGTTCATACCCCCTTTCCCCATCTGGAACCGCGCGTGTTAAAAGCTTATGATAGAAAATAAATAAAAATTTTAAAATAACAAGCGGACGTACTAGTATCATGCTCAGCACAGATGCCACATTGCACACTAATATAAAATGTATTGAACTCATTGAATAAGGTTTTAAGCTCCTTGACAGGGCCCGCACACTATTATTTTGTTCGCGTACACTCATTTAATAGCATCGTTATCAGACAGAATTCAATATTACATCTGATGAGAGCCATTTTACAGGCTTTGTACTTGTTCTTTTTTTTGTCCTAATAAATTCACTTTTTGCATTTCTGAACATTGAAAAGACAAAAAACGGCCTTCTTACGTATGATAAAATATACAATGCAATGATGCAGTTTATTCTAACTTGCCTTCAACCGGGAGAGCGTTGGATATGCAACAAGTATTTTAGCCTCTGTTATGGCGCAAAAATGGCCGAGGATACGTTCATTTCTTAGCGCGGGCCTTAACCAGGGCATTTGAAATTTGTCGAAAAGTATGTTAGGGTGACTGCTGCATGATAAGAATACTTTACATACCTGTTGGACAGAAGTCTATACCGCAATCTTCGAGTCTGACCTTTTCTACATTTAATAAAAAGACAGAAATACAATAGCAAGTCATTCGCAGTTATTTGATGGGCTTCGCTTCACAAACTTTACATAGCCATACAAAACGGCAAGTTACTTTCAAAATGGAGGTTACTAAATATTTACAAATCGGAATTCCCCGACGGTTATTCAAAATAATCTCAGACTTAATACAGATTTAAAGTGATTTTACATGTAAACAAAAACAGAGGATGTAATTTTGTATAGTGTAAAACGAACTTATGTATTTAAACTATTTGAAATCCAAAGGAAAATAATGTATATTTTGATAAAATTATAATGGAAAAATATGACTGCCAATCAACGCCCATTGATGTACAATTATAACCTAATACAAATTAATGACATAAGGTGAACATTTAAATTGTAAGTATATAAATAATGACCTGTTTACTTTTATATTTGTAAATTTTCTTAATTTAGGGGTACTGATACATGGTAAATTGAAATAAAGTTCTATAACAACTCCCAGAATTTTCTACTATTTGTTAACATGTTTAGTGTAGACCGAAATACCGTATCAGTTCTGTGGGTGTGGATCTCCAAACTCCTTAAAATCCAAATAAAATGTATATATGTCTATCCCAGCACTTATACTTATCATATGCATGCATATAAATAAAACTATATATATGGAATTGACAAATGTATATGTATTATTTTAGGCGTTTAAAAAATAAGAGCTCCAAATCTCAAGTGTCTGATCGTCTGTGTATTCAAACTATTGTGCTTGAGGTCCTTATCCGGAGACTGACGGAAAGGGTCGAAAAGTTTCGATTGAAACTTCGGCAAAGTACACTGTTTTAACGGGAAAATGTCATTTTGTGACTGAACAAACGTTAATTCAACTCTAATTGATAGATACTCTAAATACAATTTCTAAATTAACTGTTCACTATTAAAGAGCCGCGGAAGTGTTCAAAGGGTCCTGTGCTCGAATCACGGTCAGACTGCACACTCTTTTACACCCCGTGACAAACTTCTTAATATCGCCGCATTAAATGCATCATAAGTTATTTGAAAACTACCCGTAACGTATTTTCCATTCTTCTCGGCCTTTTCAGTCAATATTCGGATAAGGGCCTCAACTAAACAGAACGGATACGGTATTTCGGTCTAATTATTAGGCGACTTTGTATGTGAGTGTATGAGTGGACACTTAATATCGAAAAGTCTCATAAAACAACGACCTAAGCTTACTCGGGAATTACTAAGGATCAGATTCTTGAGGAGACTGGCTATATATATGAAATAAGAACAAATCTCAGAACTCTGCGAGGGCAGTTAAATATTTTGTTGAGGTATATTTCATGATTGAGGGATTGTAATGGTTTTTGAGGGATTTTTCGTGATGGATGTAGTGTAATGGTTTGATGAAGGATATTTCGTGAGAGAGGTTATGTTATGAATTGTTGAGGGATATTTCGTGATGGAGGCTGTGTAATGGTTTGTTGAGGGATATTAAGTGATGGAGGTCATGTAATTGTTTGTTAAGGGATATTTCGTGATAGAAGTAGTAGTGTAATAGGGATAAATGGTAATGAAGGAAGTGTCATTGTTTATTGAGGTATATTTCGTGATTGAGACAGTTTAATGGTTTGTTTAGGCTCATTTCGTGAAAGAGTTAGTGTAATGGTTTTTCAGGGATATTTTGTGATGGAGGTAGTGTGATGGTTTGTTTAGGATTTTTCTTTTTTTGATTGAAAGAGGCAATGTAATTGTTTGTTTATAATGGAGACAGTGTAATAGTTTGTTGAGGGATAATTTATGTTAGAGG